AAATCCGAATTTGCGCTTTTCTGCAAAACGTTTCGATTGTAATTGTTTCCATTTCTTTGATTTGTCTGTCAATGCCCTCTCTTCTTGCTGTGACAAAATTTGTGTTTTTGCATCATACGAAGGTGCTGAAGAAACACCTGGTCTTCCCATAAAAGAAACTGGAACCGGTGCGGACATTTTTTATTAGAATTGAAAAATAACTTATAAAAACATTAAAGGTTAAAAACACAAATGAGAAAAACTTAAAAAATAAAGGTAAATTAGTCAAGAAAAACAAACTCGAAATATCTTGTCTGCCGTATCACTTCTTTGTTACACTCTCTCGACATAAATCTCTTAACTTGCCACTAAAGGTAAAAATATCAACTTGTCATAACGACATTATACAATAACGACATTCTGCCAGCAGACAACTAGTCAAAAAGGGCGAAAACATATTATGCCAATAGCTCTATGCCAGTGACTGCTCGAATGGGCATTTGAACGGCAGTTGAGTCCCGATCCTATAACTCATGAGAGGATGATTACTTCTAAATGTTTTTGGTATCGCTGGACAGAGAATCAAGAGCACTAAACATACCAAAAAATCAAAAGTTTCAACCGATTGATAAAAAATACCCATTTCTAATCCTTTTTATTTAAATAAAAACAAATATTAATTAAATAAGAGTTGAGTGATAATTAATTAAAATTAAGTAATTAAAAAATAAATAAAATTAAATTCCTGAAAGGTTTTTATTTTTTGTTCTTTTTTTTTCATTAAACATTTTTATATTTAATACCTATTATTATGAGGGACTTTCGATTTATATATATTAAGATTTATATCCATAACAATCTTTATAATAATCTTCAGTTATTCCTTCAAAATAATCTCCATAAATTCCATCATTATCAACAAATTTTGTAAATTTAGAAGTCAATTCTGGATAAGTATCCTTAACATCTTTCCATTCTTTAGAATCAAAAAAATTTTGTTTGTTTATTAAACAATAATCTTTACATGCCTATAAAAATTAATTTAAAATTTCTTAAATTTATAAAAAAATATTTTTTTACAATCTCCAAAGTAGTAGCACCATATAAAGAAATAATTCCACAATATTTCAAAAATGTTTTGGCATCTAAAATAAAAAATAATTTTTAAAAATCTATGAATGTAATAAATCTAGTTCTTACCACCCCACAAGGGCGTATCCAGGGGGGGCTGGGGGCTAGAGCCCCCCCCCCCCCCGAAATGGGGGAAAGGGAGAAAAAATTAGGAGAAGGATGGTCGAAAAAGTGAAATTTTTTCGCCTACAACCCTCAAATTTTAAAAAATTTTCGCCTGCGGCGCAAAAAATGGAAAAAATCTGGCTTCTTGAGCTCCAAAATCCTCAAAATTTTCTCCTGCGGCGCTGAAGTGATGAAAATTTATGTACAAAAAAATTTGCGTACGGAACGCCAAGGTAAACGCCAAAAATTTTTGCGCCCACCCAGTGTTAGCCCCCCCCCCCCCCGAAACCGCCCCCCTGGATACGCCCTTGCCACCCCAGTCCTTTTCAAAAAAAATTTTTTTTAAATCTCAACAAACCTAATAAATTTGCCATACAACATTCACATTCATATTGCAACGTTTCCACCTGATATTTATGTGCAAGAGCAAAAATACCTTCAACATTATTTTCCAATTCATCTTAAAATAAAAATAAAAAATTAATTTTTACAAATAAACTTTTATTAATTTTTCCACAATAAAAATATTCTAACAATGCTCGAAAACATTCTGGAGTAGTATCAGAGATTGTGACTTCACCCTTTAAAAAAAAATTAAAAATATACAAATCCTCTTTTAAATTAAAATTTTTTTAATTATCGTTTTCACTCAAATCCCTTTTGAACAAAATTTTAAAAAAATTTACAGTTTTCGCTTCAACCATGGCAACATCTTCTCCAAACATTTTTTTAAAGACATCACTGCTTTGAGCCAAAACACAACGATGTGCTTTTATAACTTCATCGCCAACCTTTAATAAAAAACAAAAGCTGCTTTCCGATTATCGACTTGCAGTTTCCCTTTTTTTCAATATGAAGCGAGATTTAAAAAGCATTTCTCATATTATTAATTTAACCCCTATTCAATACGCGCCATTGGCAATTTGTAAATTTTAGTAGAAAGGAGAAGGAAAAAATAAAGGGAGATAACGGAATAGGACCAAACAAACCTTAAAAATACAATCAGCATATGTTTTATCGTATAACATCATTTCATATTTATTTTGTAGAATTTCAGATGTGTTCAAATAAACAAGTTTAACTTCGCAATAAAGATGTATTGATCCTTGAAAATTAAAAAATTGAAAAAAATTTATTAAAAAAATTCGGACGAGAATAGTCAAAAAATTTTGATTCTTAACACAAAAATAGGGCCTTAATTTTGATTTTTTAAGAATAGAATAAACAATTAATTTATCTTTAAAAAATAACCTTCAATTATCTTTGAAACATCTGCACCTTGTTCTTTAGGAATAATTATATCCTTTAATAAAACTTTAGAATATCCCAATTTTTGCTGGTCCTTTAATTTATTTGTCGATCTGAAAATGGTTAAAACATATTTTTCGATTCTTTTTAGTCAAGCTAACAAAATCGGGTATTAGTAAGAGGTGCGGCCCACTATGACGTAAGCTCACTATGGCGCGAGGCTTTAAGACGCAAAACTAAAACTAAATTCCGAAAATTTACTTAAATGAAAACAAAAATATAAGTATGCCCGTCTTCTTGTTCAGCGGCAAAAACTTTTTCCGTGTAGGCCAATAGGTCAAAAAGAAATATATAGAAATCCATATACATCCCTAGTCATAACCAGAATATAAAAAAATAATTTAAATATTTTAAAAACCTTGAAATAAGCATATAATCAATAGACTCACTCATTGGAACATTGATATTATGGGGAGAATTTGGAAGATGCCCATTTTTATTTTTGATAGCATAAATTTTATATTTTGTATTTACAAGGCCATTTGTGGCACAAGGGCCTACTTGTCGAAGCCAAATACTAACAGTATTATCAATATTCTCACGTTTGTCAATTTCAAGAACTAATTCCCATCCCACTTCAGGGAATCGTCGAATAGAAATTTGATTACCTACAAAACACTATTTTTTATTTAAAAAAATTTAAAATACTTTTTAAATGTGTTTGTGTACAAAGTTCAACAGCTTCATAAATATCTTTAAGTCTGGCCACTCTCCAATGAAAGTTGCACGATATAACCCGCATCGATAATAATGTGGTTTAAATCCAATATTTTTTTTTCTTTTCCATCAACAAAAATTTGTGAAAACAATCCATTTTTAATGGAATATAAGTTTTGAGAGAAAAATATTGGATACAAACCAAACTATATTTAAATTAGATTTAGTATATTTGTTTTTTTTAATTCAACAAAATTCTTATTTAATTAAGCGAAAACTTACAAAAAGCGAAAACTTACTGGATTAAAATAATTTGTCATATATTTAGATCCACCTTTATAATAGTAAGTTTCAGAAAGCAAAGGTTTTTTCATTCTAGATGTTAATAAAAAAATTTGGTAATAGTGTCGTTTCCCGGCCCCATTTTTTCTCCCCAATTTTTTACCCTATGTTTGTACGGAATGGTCAAATTTTCCCCTTTCTTTTATCAAATTTGCCTTTCCATATTTTGCCTAAAAACAATCTAAAAGATTAATTTTTTATTCATCATCATCACTCAAACGTAATTTTTCATGTAAATCAATAGGTTTGAAATTCTTTAGTTCTTCCATTTTTATTAATTGGGAAAATGATTCTTATCATTACTCTAATACTTTTTTAAATATCACAAATTAATCTTTTTGATTGTTTTTAGGCAAAATATGGAAAGGCAAATTTGATGAAAGAAAGGGGAAAATTTGACCATTCCGTACAAACATAGGGTAGAAAATTGGGGAGAAAAAATGGGGCCGGGAAACGACACTATTACCAAAAATTTTTTTAATATGGTTGTAGTCGATTGTGTAGTAAAAAGAAGTCGTTCGCGAATAAAAGTAGTTATTCGCCGCAAATCGACGAAAAAGTCGATTTGCAGTTCACTAGTCGAGGTCATTCACCTAAATTCATTCGATTGTATGTTGAAGATAATAATAGAGATGTGCGGACAGAGACTAATTTAAAACGTAAAATGTAAGAAAAATTGGGGTGTGATGTTTTGTGGGTTGGGCGAGATTTACGTTTTGTCGATATTTTTAAAAATACATATAGGTATGTATGTCGGCGGAAAAATTCAGATTAGGAGAAATTCAATTTTTCCAGAAAATTTGAAATTTTCCTAAATCTGAATTTTAAATTTTAAAAAATAATTTACAATCTTTTTATTTTAAATAAATTAACAAATATTAGAATAATTAAATAAAAATTAAGTGATAATTAATTAAAATTAAGTGATTAAAAAAATAAAAAGAAAATAATTAGTTAAAATTAAATTCATAAAAGGCATTTAATTTTGTTTTTTTCCTTCATCAATCATTTTTTTTATAATAATTCATTAATTATACCACCTATCATCAGGCATTTTCATAACATTTACAACTGTTCCATCCCTATTTTCACACTTGACATATTTATAACTTTCATAATCATCTCCATAAATTCCATCATTATCAACAAATTTTGTAAATTTAGAAGCCAATTCTGGATAAGTATCTTTAACATCTTTCCATTCTTTAGAATCAAAAAAAGTTTCTTTGTTTATTAAACAATAATCTTTACATGCCTATAAAAATTAATTTAAAATTTCTTAAATTTATAAAAAAATATTTTTTACAATCTCCAACGTTCTAGCACCATAAAAAGAAATAATTCCACAATATTTTAAAAATGTTTCGGCTTCTCAAATAAAAAAAATATAATTTTTTTTAAATTTTTAAAAAAATCTATGAATGTAATAAATCTAGTTCTTACCACCCCAGTCCTTTTCAAAAAAAAATTTAAAAAAATTAAAACAAACTTAGCAAACTTGCCATATAACGTTCACATTCATATTGCAACGTTTCCACCTGATATTTGTGTGCAAGAGAAAAAAGATCTTCAACATATTTTTTAAATGTATCTTAAAAAAAGATTTAAATTAAAAAAAAAACTAATTTTTAAAATAAACATTTAAAAATTTTGGCAGTATAAAGATACGATAAAAATTGTCGAAAACATTCTGGAGTAGCATCAGTGATTGTCACTTCACCCTAAATTTTTTTCAAAAATTAAAAATAAAGAATTTAAAAAAATAGTACAGTTGTCGCTTCAATCATACCAGTATCTCCAAACATTTTTTTAAATACTTCACTGCTTTGAACCAAAACACAACGATGTGCTTTTATAGTTTTATCGCCAATCTTTAATAAAAAAATTAATTTTAATAGAAAAACCAAATGGTGATATTCGATTGTCTCCGCACAATTTTTCTTTCCCTCTTTTTCTCCTTTTTAATAAAAATTACAAATAGTAAAAAAATTTCATCTGTTTTTTAAATTTAAGCCTTTAAAAAGCTTAGGTAAAATTGAAGTTTGTCTACCCCCTCCTTATTCTTTCCCCAAATGTGGTGCTTTTCTTCTCATTATGACCATTTTTAATAATCTGAGGAAGGAAGGGGGGGGTATTTACTTCAATTTTACCAAAACTTCTTTTCAAAGAGACTTCCGCCTTTAAAGGACTTTCTGTTTTATATTGCCTAATTTAACCTTTGACCATTACGCACCATTGACAATTTGGCGCGTAATTGGCAAGTTTTTTATAAAAGGAGAGGAAAAGTAAAATTCTGCAAGATAATTGAATAGTACAAAACAAACCTTAAAAACACAGTCAGTAAATTTATTATTATAAAACATCGAAGCATATTTTTTTTGTAGAATTTCCAATGAATCCAAATAAACAAGTTTAACCTCACAATAAAGTTGTAATCCTAAATTTTTTAAAGAAAATTGTGATAAATCTAAAAATCTCGAAAATAAAAAATCTCAATTCGTTATTTAAAAATTCGAACAACTGTGAATAGACAAGAATTTTGATCTTTCTGTTTATATAAAAACTATTTTGATTTTTTATAAAATGGAGTAAACAATGAATTGAGATTTAATTCAAATTAATAAAACAAATTTATCTTTAAAAAACCTTCCAAAAGCTTAAAATTAGGAAACCATGCCCCTGCTTTAGAAAGTACGTCATCCAACAAAACTTGAACATATCCTATTTGTTGTTGATCTTCCAATTTATTCTTTGATCTAAAAAATATTTACAGTTAACATATTTTTAGAGTCTTTTTAAGGATGTCAACAAAATCCGCAATATTTATCCGCCGAAATGAGGGAAAATGGAAAAATGAAAAGATGATAAAAAACGTGATTTTTTACCAAAATTTTCACATGTGGCGCTAAAAAGCTGGCATCCTGTCCTTACAAAATTCCGCCTGATGCACAGAAAATAGAATGTACATAAGAGAACTTATCGGAACGCTAAAATTTTAGCGCCCACCCAGCTAAATAACTGAAATCCAATCTGTGCCAGTGACCTCCGGATATTATTTACACCCCCTGACAGGCCTGCTTTATGTCAGAAAAATATTTAAAAAATTTTAAAAACCTTGAAATAATCGTAAAGTTGTTATCTTTAATAACATAAATTTTATATTTTGTATTTGTAACATAATTTTTAGCAAAAGGGTTACGACAATTAAAATCATCTATAGCACAAGGGCCTACTTGTCGAAGCCATATATTAACAGTTTCTTTCTCTTCATAATTTTTAATTTTGTGAATTTCAATAACTAATTCCCATGCCACTTCATGGAAACCTGGAAATCGACTGCCTGCAAAAAAAAAACTTTTATTTAAAAAATTAAATAAAATACTTATTAATTGTGTTTTTATACCAGGTTGAACAGCTTCATAAATTTGTCTAAGATTGACCACTTTCCATTCAAATTTGCATTTTATTAATCTCATCGACAATAATTTGGTTTATATCCAATATTTTTTCCTTCTCTATATTTTTTTCTATTAATCCAAAAAGGGTTCGTGTTTTTGTACAAAAATAGGTACTTGTGTAGTTTACCTCCCATAAGTCCCGTCCTTTTTCTTTCCGAAAGCAGTAAAATGCCAGAAATCAATAAAATTGAGGGTATCGACCCAAACGCTCTTTTAAAAGAAAAAGAAGAGAAGAAAACGTGGCGGGACTCATGGGGGGTAAACTACACAAGTACCCAAAAATGTGTAAAAACAATTCATCTCTTAAAAATGTTACAAATTTTTACATTTACTTTGAGCGACAAAGATTTTTATTTATAAATTTTGAGAAAAAAATATTGGACAAAAACCAAACTGTTTTAATTAAATTTAGTATATTTTGATTTTTTTTAATTAAAAGAAAATTCATAATTCTAGCTTACTGATTCACAACGATTTCTAAATGGATCATTTGTAATATATTTCCATAAATATTTGTACTTTTTCTCTTTCGCAGTATTAAAAGTATCCGAAGTATACAACTTATTCATTTTGGAAATGTTTATCCATTTTTTATCCATTTTGGAACTTATCCCTTTTGGATTATCCATTTTGGAACTTTTCTTTTCTTTAAAACGTAAAATTGAAGAGAAACAAAAAATCACAAAAAAAACAAATTTTCTAAGTCGAAAATTCACATACTCTGAATACCCCTCCTCACTCTGAAACAGATATTATGAAACGGCCTACTTTAAATTATCGCTACCCTGAAAGGTCCCCAAATTCTATGTTGAAGATATTTATTTCAAATATTTTATTCTTTTAAATATTTAAATCATTTTTCATCAACCTACGAATATATTTTAAATAAAATATCAATTAACGTCCTCCAAGAAGTCCAAAAACCGTCGGCCATGTTCGAATCTCTGCCCAAAAATCATTGTCCACTTTCTCCGGATGTTCTTCAATGAAACGTCTACATGCCTGAAATTAAAGACATTAAACAAAAATTATAATTTATAAAAATACATCTAAAATAATTGGAAATTCAATTGCATCCAAATCAATCGTATCCAAAACTCTACAAAGTTCAATAATAACACCAGTATTAGCTATAAAAATAATTTAAAAAAATTTTAAACCAGAATTTTCTTACCGATTTTACTTGCCAGATAACTTTCTGCGTTATTCCGTAAATTTTCGATAACAAATTCATCAGCCAACATTAATATCTCCCAACAATATCGGTCCCAGAGATCTAAAAAAGTTTAAATGTTAAATAAATGTTTTGAAACCAATTTCAATGTGACCACAATATAAATACAAAAGAAAACATCTGACAGCTTGCGGCGAAGAATTAGATATACGCATATGATTCTAAAAAATTTTTTTAACACAGAAGTATTTTGTCCCCCCCCCCCCCTTCACCTATCAAAATTTATATTAAAAATACTTGTGTTGGTTCACGCCTAAATTTCCCTCGAAATATATCATAGCATGACAAGATATTTTTGTGGACGTTAATTACTTCAACTTCATTCTCTGTCTCACCAATTACCTTTAAAAAAATTTTTTTATATAAAACTAAAATATAAATAGACGTGTATCTTATAATCAGAATAACGTTCTTGTTCAAACAATTCCTTGTATTTCTTCTGTATGTCAGCGTTCAAATTAAAAGTCACAATTTTAACAAAACATCCCAAGTGTAAAGCTGAAAAGGGTAAACATTTTTTAAAATTTTCAAAATTATAGAAATTGGGAAAGTTATTTTATATGTCGACTTTTTGGTACCAGTTTTTTTAGAATTTGATCAGATTTTGTGAGACCTATATACGTTAATATTTTTAAGATTTTAGCGAAAATTATATAATTAAATTTAAGCAGATTTGAACACCTAATTAGATCTGTATGTTCAAATCTTGGCAAGACGTCACGCCCAGAACCGGGTTGGGCCGACGTCTTGATGGAAGATATTCCATATAGATGGGTCAAAACTCACAAAACACATCTTATTGTTAGTAAAACACATCCCTTCAAGCTAATATGAAAGTTCGAAGCTTTCATTATAGGACATGAAAAAACACAAAAGATAAATGCTTACATCCATCATTAGCCAATAATCCTCCAAATTCCAATACTTTGAGCCCCAACTTTTCCTCGTCCTCAAGAGAGTAGTCTGACCTTAAAAGAAAAATTTAACCATTCTGAAATTTTTTAAAATCATACTTTGAAATTAAAACTCGTTCAGCATCGTTACCATAGCCTTTAACGGCAACAATTTCATAATCAACATGCGTATATTTGTTTAACGCAATCTTGTTGAGCCAAATTTTAACCTTCCCGTTGTCTTCCGGTTCAACACAAAGCGAAAATTTCAAATCATGGAAATCCCATTTTTCTAAAAAAAACTTTTGGTAAGAGTAACGCTCATAAAACCGAATAGTTTTCTAATATAATTAAATGTACAGTCCAAACTCACTATATAGGTGCCAAAAATGGTTAACTTTGCCTTCTCATTAAACTTAAAAAAATAATTTCCCTGAGCGGGGTCGAACCCATGACCTTATTCGCCTAGTAACTTTATAGATACAGAATCATATAAAGCATTAAACATTGGAAATGGAACATGTCCAGATGATTATAGTAATTTTTGGACTACATCTCATTACATAAGAAAATTTATTTCTTCGGTTCATGAGCGATTTTTTTTAAATTACTTGATAATATAACTCCATATGCAACAACATTCCGATGGACCGAAGCAAAATTGTCAATAATTAAATTCGCTTCAGTTCTTAAAGGTTCTAAAGGAACCAATTCTTGAGCAAACATTCTTTAGATTATTTTGATTGATAAAAAATCCAAAACAAGATATCCCAAAAGTTTTTTTGTTTTTTAGACAAATTGCAGTCAGCACTAAAAAAATAAGTTAAAAAAATTTTCCAAATATTATCCTAATTTTAATCTCCATGGAGATTTAATGAGTGATAAAAAAAATTAGAAATTCGTAAAACATAAAATGAATCTTCAACTCTTCTAGAATTTACTTTAAAAATCTTAATCAAACAAAACTGAGATACACTAGTTAGAGAGTGTGTGAATTGTCGAGTAGAGACATTTTGTAAACAAAAAAACATTACAACATTTTGGCACAAAACAGTGGAAATTTGAATTTAACATTGTCTCTCACTTACAGGGCTAGGGTGGAATCGGTCTATTAGAGTCTCATCATTGGGGGGTTTGTGAAGTATCCGTAATTTACTTTTGATATTTGCTTATTTTCCCTATATCCTAAGCTTTTCTACATCTTAATTTTATAGAAATTCTTTTTTTAGAAGCTGGAATACCTTCGGAAAATGCAACAACTGTTAAGCCTGAACCAAAAGTTTATTTTTCAAAAATCATTTAATAGCCATATTAATTTACTTTTCTTTTCAGACTCTTCAATATGAACTTCTCCATAATGTTGGACGTTCTGCTGGTTCAGATTCAGTAATTCGACAATGGGATATTTTGGCAAAACAAGGTTTAAATGATCCATTTCTTCGTTGTTTAGAACATCATTGTGATTGGGTTAATGATATTGTTCTTTGTAGTGGTGGAAGTAGACGTTGGTTTTTTATTTTTAAATTAAGACCTAGATTTTCTTTTTAGTAATTTCTGCATCCTCCGACACAACAGTAAAAGTTTGGGAAAAAAGTAAAAAAGGGAACTCGTCTTTCAACGTTAAAAACACACAAGGATTGTGTTCGTTGTTTGGCCTATTCTCGTGAACCTTCAGAGACTGTTGCTAGCGATGTGTTTATTGTGGATAAATGGTTTTAACACTTACTAAAGTGGCAATAACATTGTTAGTCTTGCTATGTTTATGAGGTTTTATAATTTTTTAATTTAGTCCCTTAATTCCTTTAAAATTCTCTCAGAAATTCTTTCCCAAAAATTTTCTCATGAAACCAAAATCTGCGCGCAATAATTTATGTTTCTAAAACTTTATTCTCATTATTTCACGCAGTCTTTTCCCTCTCATTTTCATAAATTTTATTTTTAAAAATTCCTAAAGTTCAAAAAGGAGAATGACCATGACCACCACAACAACCCCCATCTTTTCTTTCGTCCTCCTCTTTTTCTAAATCCTTTTGTCATTTTTACATAATTCTGTTTGGTCATTACCCGCTGATTCCTCAAAAATTTCCAAGAAATTTTCCTCGTTAAAAATTGACGAGAACAATTGTTGCCTTTCAAAATATAATTTTTGCGCAACTTTTCTTTTTCCCAACAGCTGCTAGAGTGCGTCATAATTTAAAAAAAACTTTTTGTTGTTTTCATTTGGATTGTTTGGGTGTATTTTGAGGGGAAGGGTAGATTATCCCATTTTCTTCCTTCATTTGGAAACTTCAAAATTCTTTTCTTTTCCTAAAAATTATTACAAACTTCCTCAAAATCTGTGGCTTCTTCGACGTCTAAATTTCTTTAAAATTCTTGATAAAAGCGCTGGAAAGTTAATTTACCGTGCCTTCGACACCTTAGGGTTTTAAAATCTTAAACTCCTCTAATTTTATTCAAATTTATTTTTTATATAACGAAAATAATAGGAAAAAGTTTTAAAAACAAAAAAAAGGAAATTAAATTGCACGTGCCAACTAATTTAAGGACAAAAAATACTAAAATAAGCGCCCTTGACCACACTTTTTTCTTTAATTTATTTTTGGCAACACACACATTTTGGATAAAGTAGGGTCACCAACAAGTAGAAATCTATCCCCTAAAGGAAATAAAAATGAAGCTCATTTCCACTCTTAATTAATTTTGGCACTCTTAAAAAGACCAAAATTCTATTAAAGTCCTCCACCCTTTGACCAGTTCAATTTAAAACTTGTCCACTTACTTTTCTACCATTTCTTCCTCCCTCCACCTTTTTTGCTTAAACCCCATTTCCGTCACTCATTTTGGTCATCATTTTCGTTTCCCTTCTCTTTTACAATCTTCAACGGGGGTTGCTGCTACTCCCGCCCAAAACTGGACATTTTGTCCCATTTTTCTCTTCTTGACATTTTTAACTCCTTTTTTCTTCTTTCCTCTATTTCCCCGCCCATTTAGCGCCTTTCTGGGCAAACAAAATAAAAAAAAGTATTTTTCTCCCACACGCATTCTTTGTTGTTTTTTATTCACAAAAAATTTTTCGCGCCGCTTAATTAGCGGCGCATCTCCCCTCCTCCCTTAACCTTTTTTAAATCCTTTTTAGAAATCCTTTTTTAGAGGAGAAAAGACTCCACCCTTTCTCTAAACTTATTTTTATTTATTTTTTCTTTAAAGAAAATTTTTTTAGTAATAATAATCTTGGGGGCATTAAGAAATCCTTTTTTAAAAGCATTTAAAATGAAAAAACAAAAAAATTTCTTTTCAAGTGTTTATTTCCTGCTCAGAGTTTGTTTTTTATTTTCAGAAAATGGCAAAAATTTCGTCGTCCTTTTTTACACTCTTTTATTATTTTTTATTCAATTTTGTTCCAATCTGGACTGCTTATTTCTCTCAATTTTCTTCTCTTCGACAACCAGATAGAGATCCTTGTTATGATTCTGCTGGAAGACCTGTTAGATGTGTTCCAGATTTTATCAATGCTGGTAAACTTTCCAAAGATTTTTTATTAATTTTTTAAATTTTTTAGCTTTTGGAAAGCCGATTGTCGCTTCTAGCACTTGTGGAACTAATGGAAAACCTTCGAGGTAATTTTAAAAATTTAAATAGGGGTTTTTAATTTTTGGACATTTTGAGTCTTTTTTGGAGTTTTTTGTTATTTTTAAAATTTTTTTAACTTTTCTCTGGACCCAAAAAATCCGTGCCAACCTCTCCCTAATTTTTCTGTCCACCAATTTGTCTCACAAAACATTTTTCCGTTCAGATAATTTATCTTCTTCAAATCACCCATTTATTTTGATTTTTATTTGATTTTTCTTGTTTTCCCTTATTTTCTCATTTTCTTTTGTTTTCCTTCTTTCAATGTGGCCTTTCGGATTAAGTGGATTTTTTGTATAATGATTTATTTGTTTATTATACTTGTTTGGCTTTTTTTTTTAATATTTTTTCCCTCTTTTCTTCCTATTCCCCAAGAATCTCTTCCCTCCCAAGAATCACCAAAGAACCGGTCATAAAATTTATTTTATCCTTACAAGATCAGAAACATTAAAAATAAGGGGAAAAGCATTGTAATTACTCTGGGATGTGCGTAATAATTTTTAAGTGGAAAATTTGAGTTGGAAAATTTGAAAAAAAAGTGAATAGTGCACATCTTTACTAGGAAGTTGCGCACCGTGAAAAATTCTTTTTATTATTTTTTCCTTGTTAAATGGAAGCCACTTTTTTATTTTTGCTAATTTGGCGTCCGTTTAACTCCACTCACAATTTTATGCAAGTGGAAAAACGCACAAAAATAAATGAATAAAAAAACTTGAAAAGTACGTTGAAGGGAAGGGAAATGTTTTTGTGTGTGTTTTTACCCGTAAGCTTTTCTAAAAATAAAATTTTTGATTAAAGTAAAAATGGAAAAGTTTTAAAAGTAGATAAAGATTGAGGTAAATGAATGGGAAAAAAAGGAACAGAAAAATAAGTTTTAAAATTTAATTAAATTATTTTTCCAGAAAGTGATCGAACTATCATCGTCTTTAGGATATAAAAAAATTTTTTAAAGAGTCTGAAAAAAATTTTAGAAGAAAATTCCAATCATTTTTTTGTCTTGAAAATAATTTTATTTTTATTTATTTTTCTCTTTTATTTGTTTATTTCCTCAATTTTGTCAAAATAAGTTTTTCCTTTCTTCCTCCTCTTGTTCGGCTTTTTCTTTTTAAACTTACTTCTCTCCTAATAATCTTTTAAAATTTTTAATTTTTGGCATATAAACATTGGGAAAATAATTAAAAACAAAAGAATCAAATAATTTTGAACACCTCTCTTAAAAAAATTTTTTCAATCTCAAATTTCCACAGATTTTGCCTCTTGGAAGAATCACAAGATGGAACAATGCGGGAACGTTGCGAGATTTGTGATGCTGAAGATTTAACCTTAGCTCATCCAGCTCAATTACTGACAGATTTGAATAATCCAGATAATTTGACTTGTTGGGTTAGTGAACCAACAACAACAACAAATATTTCCCCTTCGAATGTGACACTTACTCTAAATCTTGGAAAGAAATTTGAGGTTTTATTTTGTTTTTATTTTGTTTTAAGAGGGGTAATTGGGAGGGGGATTTAAATATTTTTTAATTTTAAGAGATAATCGGAGAGGGGGGGGGGATTTTTTTTGTAGAATAATAAAAGGAAAAAGGGCAAGACTTTTTTTTAAATTTAATTTTCAGATAACTTATGTTTCTCTTCATTTTTGTGGACGTATTGCTGATTCGTTGGCTATTTACAAATAAGTTTTTTAATCAAAAATGATTTTTAAAATATTTTTTAATATAAAAAAATTTTTTTCAAGTCCAACAATCGTGGACGTACTTGGATTCCAATGCAATTTTACTCGTCACAATGTGAAAATATTTATAAAAGACCTAAAGATGCTAAAATTACTCGTGAAAATGAACAGGTTATTTTACTTTATTTAAATTTAATTTGTAGAGGATGAAAATATTTTTGGGAGGAGAATTTTTGGAAATTATTTCCAAAAATCATATTGCCTTATTTTAGACTTGAGAAAATTTAAAAAATAAAATTTTCCTGAAAATAAATTTATAATAAACTTTTAACAATTTAAGGAAGCAAGATGTACAGATGCTCGTTCCCTCTCACCTTTATCAAATCGAATAGCTTTTGCTACTTTAGAAGGAAGACCTTCAGCATTGGAATTTGAACAATCACCGGTTTTTTTCAAAAATTTTGAAAATTTTCAAAAATTTTTTCAAGGTTCTCCAAGATTGGGTAACCGCAACAGATATAAAAATTGTCTTTAATCGTCTAAGTACTGATCAAAACCAAATGTATTGGTTAGAAGAAAATATTCAACGTTTTAGAAGGGATAATAATAATTCTATTTTTGAAATTGGAGAAGGAAATTTTTTAAATTCAAAATTTGGTGAACAATTATTGAAAGAACGCTATTTTTATGCAATGGCTGAATTGGCAGTAGGAGGACGGTGTAAATGCAATGGGCATGCTAGTCGTTGTGTTATTGACCGTATGGGAAGGTTTGCGAGGGAAAAAAATTTCAAAAAAAAATTTCCGAAATTTCCTAAAATTTTCAAAAAAAATTATTTAAAGGTATGCCTGTGATTGTAAACACGCCACAACAGGGCTAGACTGTGAAAAATGCCGTCCATTCCATTATGATAGGCCTTGGGCTCGTGCTGGTGCTGATGATGCTAATCCATGCATTGGTATATTTTTTAAAAATAATTTTTAAGTTCGGGTCCCCCACCTTCCCTCTTTAATTTTTTTTACATTCCTTCCTCTCTACTTATTCAATTTTTTATACAATAAACAACTAATAGCTTTAATATTTTTTAAAATTTTCCCATTAATATATCCCCCTCTTAAATAATTCAACAAATAAAAGCATTGAGAAGGAAAAAAATTTTCTTTTATTTTTTTATAAATTCTTTACATGATCCCTTTTATTCAATCCCCTATCCTTTTCTTCTTCCCTCTTTAATCCAACTAATTTTTGGTATTTAAAAAATGCCGGCTTCCTTTTTTATTTTTTTCCCTCGTTGGCCTTGCAACCCCCATCAACAAAACTACGGTTTTCCACACTTGAAAAAATTCTTTTCTTTTTCCTCCCATCTGCGCGAGTACGGAAATAGAGGTGATATTTTGTACTGAAGACATTGCGCATCTTCTTTAACACTTGAGAAAGCGAGAAATTATTTTTTTAATTTTAAGGGGGCGGTTCTTTTTAATTTTTTTCTAATGGGGATTTTTAAAAAAACTATTAGAAAGTATCACTTGACACTTAAAAAAATTAATTTTTGTCATTTACCGTTTAGAATTTTTTGTTTTAAAATTGAAATTTTTTTCTAAAAGTTTTCTAAATTCTTTTTATAATTTTTTGAATTTAAAAATAAAAGGAATGAACGGCGGAAATGACTAATGACTTTTAGTAGAAATGGAAAAAAATAGGAGAAGGGGGGGGGGGAAGGGATATGACAACAATAAATGCAAATTACCTCTTTTCTCGAATAATAAAAAATAAAGGGGTGAGGATTTAGATAAATAAAAAAAATGAAAGAATTTTAAAAAAGGGCATCTGGTCATAAAATATTTTTAAATATAATTTATGGCAAGGGGTTTTTTAACTAATTTATTGAAACAAAAATTGAATATAGAAAATTTTTGAAAATTTTTATAACTCTAAAAAAAATTTTTTAATCTGTTTGGAACATAACAATATAACTAATATCTTCTCCCTTAATTTTTTGTTTGTAAAAAATATTACCCATTAATATATTTACTTGTTCCAGAAAAAAAAGTTTTTTTTTGTTAATGCGCATTCATCCGCCAAAAAATTATTTTCACACCCAATCAAAAAAAAACAAAATTTAATTATCGATATATTTTTGGGACTTTTATTTGTTGAATTATTTGTTTGTGTTATACGCTTTTTTTGGTCATTCCCTTCATTTTTCTCTGTGAGGCGTGAATTGAAAAATTAAAAAAAATATATAATTGAAAAATAAATATAAATAAAATGAGGGAAGAGTTAAGTGGGGAAGAATAGAAAAAAAAAGAAAAATAAATTTTAAAAAAATGACTGGAAAAAACTAATAAATAAACAATTTAAAAATTTATTAGAAAAAAAATTCTGTGAAAATTTTTAATTTTAAAAATTTATTTTTTTAAGCCTGCAATTGTAATTTACATAGCAGAAAGTGTCGTTTCAATGCAGAACTTTACCGTCTTAGTGGTTATCAAAGTGGAGGTGTTTGTTTAAATTGTAGGCATAATACTGCTGGAAGAAATTGTCATGTTTGTTTTATTTTTTGAAATTATTTTTTTGAAATTATTTTGGGAGTTTTTTAAACTTTATGGGGTCTTGATCCATGCTCTTTTATAGATTTTTTTGAATTTTGGGAATTACGGAAAATATTTTTCGAATTTTTTTTTGGAAATGGAGGAGGAAACTAATAGTAATTTAATCTTAATTTATTTTTTAATTTTTTAGTATTGCAAACTTGGCTACTTTAGAGATCAAAACAAACCAATAACACATAGGAAAGCTTGCAAACGTAAATTTAAAAAATTAAAAAATTCGAAAAAAAATTTTTCTAGCTTGTTTGTGCCATCCAATAGGCTCTATATCTCGAAATTGCAATCAAGTATTTTTCTAAATAAATTTTTAATTTTATAAATTTTGTATTTAGACAAGTGGACAATGTATTTGCAAACCTGGAGTTGATGGTTATTTTTTAGTTTAAAAATATTTTTTTTGAAAATTCTTTAAAAAATTTTGAAAAATTTTTGAAAATTCTTTAAAAATTTTGAAAATTCTTTAAAAATTTTGAAAAAAATTTTTCAAGAAATTTTTCAAGAAAATTTTTTCAAAGGCCCAACTTGTAATCGCTGCGCTAAAGGATTTCAACAATCCCAATCACCTGTTACGCCTTGTATTCGTAAGATTTTTTTTCTATTTTATTATTCAAAAAATTTTTTCTTTAAAGGTCCTCCACCAGCAGAAAATGCTCTTTTTGATTCAAAAAATTCCGCAAATAGAGGTTTTTAAATTATTTTTGTTAATAATTTAAATTGAATTTTTTTGTTGAAGAATGTGATAAATGTAAAGCTTCTTCTACACGTCTAACACACAAAAGATTTTGCAAAAATGATTATGGTTGGGGAATTTTTGAAAATTTTTTTATAATTTAAGATTTTTGCCACTAGTTAAAAATTTTTAAAAAATTGATAAATCTTTTTCGAAATTTTCCGAAAATATTAAAAAAAATTTCGGAAAAATTTTTTAAGTTTTGAAAGATTTTTCATATTTTTAAAATCTTTCTTAATTAAAAAAAATTTCTTTTTCTAGCCTTCCATTTGCAAGTAATTGGCCGTGAATTAATTAATGGATGGGCTAAATACTATATAAAAATAATTTCAATTTTAAAAAATGAAATTAAAAACGAAGACTTTGGAAAAGAAAATAATTTTAATTTAATTGAACCTGGAGAGGAAATGGCTCTTTGGTTATCTGAAAAATTGTTGGAATGTAAATGCCCAAAAATTAAAGTTGGAAGAAAATATTTAATTATGGGTATAATTATATTTTTTTAATTAATATTTTTTAAACACCTAGTTTTCGGTTTTTTCGGAAAAATTTTTTTTAGAAAAACCTACAAAAAATTTACACATTTTTAGACCCATTTGATTTTTATTTTTTAATTGGGGTGGATTTTTTCGGATAAAATTTTTTAAAAAAAGGTTTAGTTGTAGAAAACTATACTTCTATTTAAAAAATTTTTTTTTAATTTCTTTTTTCGAAAAAAAATTTTCTTTTAATTAAAATTTAATTTATTATTCCATTTTTTCCCACCTTAAAATTAATAAATTCTCTCTCTTATAAATTTAAAAGTAAAAAAAATTTTTTCAAGGTCAATATAAATATTCAACAACAACAACTTCAGATTTTACAACAAATAACAACGAATATTCATCCAAAAATAAATTAAAAAATTTAATTTTAAATCCAAATCATTCAATATTAATAGATTGGAGTTTGTCTTTAGCTGATAAATTTGAACGTTTTGAACGTCGACATTATAGAGAAAAATGTTTAAAAATCAAAAAGGTGGAAGAGGAGAAGGAAGAAGAAAATAATAATGTTAATACAACAATTGAAACTTTAATTAATAATGAAGAAGGGGAAAATATAAAAATTGAAAAAATAAAGAAGAAAGGAGGAGTGGAGGAAGAAGAAAATAGAATTTAAAAAAGTTGGAATTTCTAAAGAAAAAAGAATCTTTTTTTCATACTAAAAGAGTAAGAATTTATCCCTCCTTAATCACTCACGTTTGTTTAAAAAATTGTTAGGTTTTTTAAATTTAAAAAATAAGGGGTTGTCGGGTGCACTGTGAATTTCTTAAATAACGACAACCCTTATTTTTAAAAGGTTTGAAAAATCCTTTTAAAAAATAATCGAAAATCTTTCTGATATGTCATTTCATTTCGCTCCTAAGATTGGGGGGGGGGGGCTATCATTTTTATGCATTCCTTGTATTTTATATACATACTATATTTTTCAAAATATTTAAAGCTTTATATTATTTTTCTGTCCAAACAAATTTTCTTGCCCTACTCTATTTTCTATTTTTTTCTTGCTTTAATTTTGTTTTCAAGTCAATTTTTTTCGAAATATTTTTTTTCTATTTTTAATATGGAAAAATAAAATTTAAAGAAAATTTAAAGACCTTACTTATTTTAACAGTAAAATTTGGTTGTAGTTAAGGGAAATTTTTATAATATAAAAACCCAAAAAATTGGAGCTATTTTAAACAACTTTGTCAACTACTCATCAATTAGTCTAAAGGTTCGTTGCCTTTTTTTCTTTTTAAATTTTCTCTTCTATAAACGTTTTCTAAAATTTTTAATTTTTCAGTCGAACCTCCAAACATGAACGGAAGGGTAATCATCGAGCACAACAGTCAGAGTGCGCCTGCAGGAACGCGTGACTTTGCTCATCAAGTCATTGCTGAAGCTGTCGCCAAGTTTTTTAATCTCTTAAAGCTTTTTAATATCCTCTCTTGTGTAGATATGGTTCGATGCACGACTCTCTCAAAGCGATCGCGGAGATTGGCAAATTTGTCCGGGACGCTCTCAACGCCAAACATGGCTGCTGTGACTGGCAATGCAGTGCCAGCTTCTCGCGTACTGGAGTCTGCTCGATCAAGTTGGGAATTTTTTAAAAATTTTTTGAGAGGTTAAAAATTTTTTTCCAATTTTTTCAGTAGCCAAGGCGACAACTACTCACTTCTTGTCCGGGTCGACAACTACAACGTGATCCTCTGGAAGCAGTAGGCGCTCGCTCTAGACGATAGAAGGATGGACAAAGATGATGAATATATAGGTGCAATCTAGACGACTTGAGATGTGTAAATAGAAACTTCAAAAAGATGTAAATATTTGTTCTGTTTGTAATGTACACCTTTACTTGATTTTCTATATTCGTTGTATGTTTAATTTTCTGTTGTATATTTGTTGGTAAATACATATTTGAATGCTTTTTTTGCTGTTTTTGATTTTTTTTTTTATTTTTTTTCAAAATTTTTGAAATTTACTTTAAATATTTCTAGTTTTTATAATTTAAAAAATTAAATTTTCAAAAATAAAAAACAATTGACACCGCCCGGGTTCGAACCGGGGACCTTCAGTGTGTGAGACTGACGTGATAACCACTACACCACGGTGCCCACAGAAATAATTCTTTCAAATCACCTTTTATATTTTTAATTATTTGGCCGTCCCCTCTCTATAATTATTTTTTCAGCAGAAAAACGTATTTTTAAATAGAAATTTCTTCTCAGTTGTTTTTGTACTTAAACAAAAATATTTTAAATTATTAATGAGTGATTTGTCTGTTCTTTCAAGGTTAGTCCAAATTTTTAAATTTTTTAAAAATTAAAAAAAAATTTTCTAGGGGTGTTAATAATGTGTTCCTTCCGTGGAGTTATGCTGCGCTAGGGATTAGTTTGTACTTTTTTATGTAAATTAAATTTTTATTTTATTTTTTAATTTCCTAAAAATAATTTTTAGAAATGCAGCTATTTATGCAGTAACAACACTTTTGTTAATAAATAAGGAAAATATTTTGAACAAGGAGAGATGGCTTTTGGGACTGGAGGAGGAATTAATTTCAGAAATTGATGTATCGTCTGTTATATCTATAGAAGACCCGATACAAGACGAACGAATTTTGGTAATATTTTTAAATTAAAAATTTTTTTATGAAATTTGCGGACTTAAATCTCTCCAAATTTTTGGAATAAAAGAATTTTTTTTTAAGGTAGACTCGCAATTTCAAATTGATTCAACTCCACCTAGCAATACACCAGACTCGTCTACTAGCCAGGAAGAAGAATCATAATCTCCACGAATATAATTATGATTTTTTGGATAATTAAATGTTTAGGTACTTAACTTATTTTAAGTTAAATATTTTTAAAAAATTAATTTTTTTCAAAAAAAATTTTTAAAAAACAAATAATTTACCAAAAATATTTTTAAATTTACATTTCAAGTTCATTCCGAACTTTTTCTCCATTTGTATTTGGTTTATTGTTAGTAGGAGGAGGAGCTACAGGGCCTTCTTCTACTTCTGCCATTAATACATCCTCTACTACGAAAAAAAATTTTTTAAGGAATTTTTTTCAATTAAAAACCTTGTTCTTTATTTGTTTCGTCTAATTCATCAAGAAGAGCGGCTAAAGTACTAATGCTTTCCCTCTTTTCAATTAACTATTAAAATTAATTTTATTAAAATTTAACAAAAAAATTAAAAAATATATATACTTTCTGCTCCAAAGTCTTTTGTTTAGAATAAGCTTCTTCCAATTCGTCTTGTAAAATTTTTAATTTTTTTGTAGTTTCTGCTCGACTTGGTTTTTCCTTTTTTAAAATTTTTTCTTTAAAAATAAAATTAAAAATATACCTTGATCATTTTAGCAATATTATCATACTCTTGTTGATTCTTTTTAACTTGTTTGGCTTCAGCTAATTGTTTTTTAACTTCTTCCATTTTTTCTTGATTTTTGTTTAAAAGATTGCCTTGAAATAATTTTAATTTTTAAAAATTATTATTTGACCCAGAAAGGACAAAATAAAATATGAATTAAATTAAAAATAATATTTAGGCATTTATTTTCCCAGAAAAATATTTTTTAGGGTAAAAGTAAAAAGAATTCGTCAAACGGACTCGACACACGACCCTTATCAGTTACATTTAGTAACTTCCCAACTACACCACAAGGAAATATTAACCAAAATTAAAACTTAAATTATACCAATCTCTTCATAAAGCTTTTCATAATTTTCCCTTTCAGAATTCATAGCCTGAGCAATTTGTTGTTGCTTCCGAAACGAAAATTCAATTTGATCCAAAAGAATAATAATTTTATTTGCAACGCTTTAAAAATAAATTGAAATTTAAAAAAATAAAAAAAACCTTTTAGAATCGCTAGACTTTCCAAGACTATTAATTAACTGAAATAAATGTAAAATCCTTCTATCATCACCAGTACCATCTCCATCAGCAACAAGTTTACGAATAATTGCTTCTTCTGTCATTTATTTGAGTTTAAAAAAAGTTTAGAAATAACTAAAATATTTTTAGAAAATTTAAAAAATTTTTTAGATAAAATTTAAAAAAGAAATAAATTTTTAATAAGATTTGTATTTAATATTTATTTTTATATTGAGGGATATTGTGAAATTAAACCAAAAATAAATAAATATTTTAATAAATCACTGTTTTCTCTAAATATTACTCATTCCCTTTTTTCCTCTCACCAATGGAAAATTCAAAGTTTTGAGTTATCAGAAAATCAAAAAAAAATTTTTTAAGAAAGAAAGGATGCTTAGAGAAACCTAATAGTGATACAATAAATTTGTAATATTATTCAAAAAATTAAAAAAAATTTTTAAAAAAAATAAAAAAAATCATTTTCATGTGTAACAAACATTATTATTTTGAAAATCTGGCACCAACAAAAGTACTTTCTCATAATGTGAAGGCGAATACATTTTCAGTTTACTCGACTTCCCAGCGTTGGCAATACGGCCCCACTCATAACCTGTTGAAGTTAAACGAAAAGCAGAAAGTGAAACAGAATCTGGAGTAAAATTGCATGAAACAAAAACACGTTGCTCATTGGAAGCTTTAGTGTGTTGTTGTCCTTGTTGAGATTGATGAACAAAATTTGTATGAAAGAAGCGATCATTATGTGATAATTCTGATGAATCGTTGGAAGTTTTAGTGTGAATCCTTTAGAAAAAAATTTAATAAAAAAAAACTAAAAAAAATTTGCAGACAAGTCCGCAAAGGTCTAGAAATAAATGACCAAGATTATATAATTAGACCTTATCATAAGATACACCCTTGGAAAAATTGTACTTTATAATTAGGTGTATCCCAAATAGCTCCTTCGTTCCAGGGATATCATTGGTCAAGAAAAAGTCGGGCTTCGAGTGAAAAAAAGTCCAGGGTTCGTTATCGGGTAATCATGACATCACTGTTTCCAACCCCATAGGTCACAAACTTATACCAATACAGCTTAAGTTTTTTTTGGCAGTATAAGGTATCTTATAGCGAGAACCAACTTAAAAAAAAGCAATTAAAATTACCATCCAAAAAATTCGTAATTTTTAAATTGGTGTTGAGATATTTGATCAAAACTATACACATCAAATTGATAAATCGCCCATTTGTTTGGAATAAAAATACAACAAATCTCTTTAATGCGAGGGTCGTATGAAGAAGAAAGTCCATAAATATGTCCAGTAACATCTATTTGCATTTCGGAAATGAGAATAAATTTGTTTAAAATATTTTTTGAAAGAATATATTTTAAATCAGTATTGGCAATATTGTCAGAATCAATAAAAATTTGTTGTTGTTGAATAAGTTGATTAATTTCTAATGTACCTTTTAATTAAAAAAATTAAAATTTTTTCAATAAAAAATTACTTTTCTGTTTAATACTCTTTCGCCAAAGCCTCATTCTTTCCTATAAATTTAATTTTTTTTAAATTAAAATTTCTATAGAACCAATTCTCTTTTCCGTTTACGTTTCCTAGCTCCACTGACATTGGCTCCTTTATTATTTTTAGATGGCGAATCGTTAAGCTCCACCACCTCCGGCTCTAAAATTAAAAATATTTCTGGGGATATTAAAGAATTATTAAAAGATATTTGACTCTTGCAGTTTAAGCGTCCAAACATTAAAAAATATAGATTGGACGCATATAATTCTATTCAAGAGCCAAATATTCAATATAAAAATAATAAACTAACTTGTTGCTTCTTTATCTGCCTCTTCATTATTTGCCTCTTCCTGATCTGTTTCTTCTGTATTTATATCATCCAACTCATCAAGAAGAGCAGCTATTGAACACAAACCTTCTCTCTTCTCAATTAACTATGAAAGACTACTTTTTAAAATTTGACATAAAATAAATACCTTCTGTTCCAATGTTTTCTGCTTTGAATAAGTCTCTTCTAATCCGTATTGTAAAATTTCTAGATTTTCTGTGGTCTCTTCAAGAGTTGGCTTTTCCTTAAAATGTTCCTAATATTTTATTAATTTAAAAAATACTTTAATTCCTTCAGCAATAGAATCAAAATTTATATCATTTTTAATTCCCTTGGACCTAGCAAATTGTTTTTTAACCGCCTCCATTTTCTCACAATTTTTATTCATAAGACAAACTGCAAAAATAAAGTTACAAAAAATATTGAGTGAACAGCCTACCAATTTCCTGAGAAATTTGTTGTTGATTACGACAAGAAAAGTCAATTTGGTCCAAATGATTGATAATTTTGTTTGTAGATCTAAAAATGATTTTAACTAATTTTTAAACAAATTTTAAAAACAACTCTTTCAAGTCATCTGATTTCCCGAGGCTATGAAGCATCTGAAAAAGACGTAATTTGCCATCAGCGGTTACATCGACAGAAACGATACTAGAACTAGAAGGTTCAGACATTTTTAAATTAAAAATCAAATAGAAAGCTGAAAATTTTCTGAACAACCCTAACTAAATACTCATTAATTTCTAATCCATTAAAAAATAAAAATGGTAATTAACCCAATAACAAAAATTTGAAAAAAATTTTTTTAACACAATTTAATAACAAAAAACAATTGTTTTAACAATATTCCAAATACACAATTTATCCCAATATTTAATATCCTTTTTCTTTCTTCAATTTTATTGACCAGCCTTGTGTTTCTGCGCCAAACGCTTGTCTCTTTCCTCAGCAATGGTAAGTCGAATTCCTTTATCGGCAGGCAAAGAAATCATCGGAACAGTTCCTTTTCCAATAATGAACACGTTATTAAGTCTGAAAATTAAAAATAGAAGTTCTTGAAAGCTACTATCTTTTAAAACAATTTTGAAACTAGCGGTTTTAATGTCCTA